AGTTGCATCAATCAAATCAGTTAATTCCAGCTGGAAAACTGGGAATATTTTTGAAGCCTTTTAAACAATGGAAATATTGAAAATGGATCAAATAATGGCTAAAATTTAGGGATGGTAGAAGCCTTTGGCTATGAAGTTGTTGACTGTCATTGAATCATTACTCAGACCTCGGGTTTTAGCTTATTGTTTAACAGCATCAATTCGAGCCCAATAGTTCCAGCTGATTTATTGGTGCTTATCGCTTACTTCAAATTTGTTTAGGTATGACGTTTTGTTCAGGTACCACATATTTGCAGGACCACAATCAGAGGAGTAGGTATATTTGCAGCGCAAAAATGAAAGAAGCCTTCTATAAATGAAATAATCTCGAATTTAATTGTTTGTCACGCCTATCACAAAACAGATCCTTTACCGAGTATTAGCTTTTTCATTTTACAATACTGTTCTCATTAAAATATTCCTGTCGCTTTTTATTCTCCGATATTTCCTATGAAGCTTATATTGAATCTTAATGATCTGATTCATACTAGAAACTTAATGTTCTCATTTATTCTCAAAATTTAATGATCTCTTGCATACTTAACGGACTGTCAATTTTCAAGCAAGCGAAAATTGAAACGAAAAAAAAAGAAAAATGAAGAGGATGAAAAGTTACGAGCGAGAAGGAATGGTTAATGTTATTGACATAAGTAAGTCAATTGTTTTATTTGTTGGGCACTGATTAATGGGTGCAACTAAGCCTTCCTTTAACGTTATCTATTGATATCAGTTAATAAGAGAGCTGATCACTGGTTTATTTCTATCGAATTATCGCCCTTATCGCTTTTTGTGTATGTTTGCAAGCTGTTTGATTTAGCAGATTGTATTTAATAAAAATTACAGTACGCAACAGATACTGTTAATTGTTGGCTATTAGAAGGAATTAAAATATTGGAAAATTGATATCGCATGTCATTAATCGTATAAACAATTCCAGCCTTGCTGAGGAGCACAATAAGCGTATTGCAACTTGCCAGCGCTTTTGCGTTCAATAACGCACGAAAGCTTTTTTTCGTCGCAGAAACAACCTTTGTCACTAAAACGAGAAGTTCTCAGTTCTGCAAAAAATTTCTGAAAGAAAAAACAGCTTTCAGAAATTCCGATGTATCGAAACCCAGTATTTTACTTAAAATGATCGAAATAAGCTTACGTCCATGACTGGTCCTCTTTCAATATGCACCATTGCTGTGGTTCACGTTGGTCATAGCAATCTACGTGAGTGACGCATTTTTTCTCTCTACAACAGGTTGAAATGGAATAGAATAAAATGAAAACATCAATAATGGAAATCGTTTAGGATCATCAAATGAAGGGAAGCCATGAATTATTCAGGGGAATCCGAAAAAAAATTTTTTAGCAAAAAATATTTCAAGTACCGAACAATGCTGTAAAGTGGATACGAAGGCCTGTAAAGAGCTTCACTTATACCACGGGAAAGTAGAGGCTGTTTATGGGTAAGAACTAAGATTGCTTGCAAATTTTCCAGGATTTCAAATTAGTGAAAGATCGAAACGACTTGCTTGCCATCAGTTTCAATGAATTCCCCTTTAGCCGTATATCCATATTCTTCACTTTCATCGTGATTCTTGTCTCCCTCTTCAATGTTTTCATCAGTTCCATCTTCATCTTCACTCTCTTTGTCATTATCATTGTCTCCATCAATATCATGTTGATCTTCATTCTTTTCATCAAATTCTTCGTCGAATTCGTCGTCGAATTCTTCGTCGAATTCTTCATCGAATTCGTCGTCGAATTCGTCGTCAGATTCGTCCTGATATTCATCATGATCTTCATTTTCAAGATGTTCTTCACTATATTCTTCTTGCTGAAATCATATAGATACTTTCATTTCGCCTCTTGAAAGGAATAACTGTTTTAGAACAAATTTCTTCTGCAAATGAAAAAAGTCGCTACCTCTGATCAATGTGTTTTATGCAGCTACTGCTGTTGATCATTTTCAATTTGCTAAGGCTAACACAACTTTTTTAAAGTTTTTTTCAGTTTGATAATTTGGATAATTGATAAACTGAGAAAT